TAAGAGGGAAAGAAGGGAGGGAGGGGGAGAGGCATCTATAAGCTAGTTCTCACCTAATTTTCCAACTTGATCTCATGCTGTATCTTGTCAGGCACTGGACAACTCAATGCTTCCCGACACACTGAGTATGTTTATGTTGAGTGTGTGTGTGTCTAATGTTCTACTGTCCTTGACTCTCACGCTTCCTGCCTTTAGAAATCCTGCTCCTCAAATCTCTCTGTGCAGCCTCCCTGTTGTTTTCAGTTTTCAGTGTTGGAACCAATCACTCTTATCTCTACACTCAGAGAAGTCCTGTTCATCCTGCTTTGAATTGTAGTTATGTTTCAAGTTGGTCACTCTCACTAAATTAGCTCCTAAAGGGAAGTGTGCATTTTGTTGGCCTCTGCGTTTCGCAAAGTACCTGGAACTTGGCTTCACTCAATGCACGTCATTAACTGGAAAACACTGAACAGAAGAGTCATCTAGGAAAACCTGTTTTCTATGATGACCTAATTTTAAGTGTGATAGAGAAAAATATCTAGCCCAAATATAGGAATCTTGCTTAGCATGACTATCTAAAAGAGCAAATGAGAAATCCTGAAAGATGGAAATAAATCCAATATTGCATAGCAAATAGGATTATTACATGAGATGCACGTGAAATAAAATAGGAAGCTATGCTTTAAATATATTAGAGGTAAGAGAAGAATGAAAGAAAAATAATTTCAGTTATAAAACAGAAGAGATAGCTCCTGACATTGTTTTGTGTGTGTTTTAGCCAAACACACCAAACCTGGTCATAAAATAGGCAAACACCAATTTGTATCATGAAGCAGGTTACTTCTCAGATGGGGACTAACACTGGCCTCCCTTAGCTGCCCTGTCCCTCACCTCCCCCCCACCCCACACACAGAAGGTCCACGTGATGCAATTCACTTTCCTGCTTCATACCCACAATCGTTTCTAAGCAGTTTCCTAAATCATATTATAAGTTTACTGTAACTTTTTTTTAACTACTTACTTTTTGCTGTCATTTAAGCCCATTTCCTCTTGTCTGTGGTGACATGGGAATGTAGAGGGTCCTATTACTCTATGTATTTAACTTTTATATATCCTAAAGCATTTTATGGTAATTGACTATATACTACCTTCCATAAACAATAAAACCAATTTTTTTTATGCCTCTAGAGTATTGCTATTGTGCTTTAATCTCTATAAAAAGATACACTGTCATCAGATCCATTTTTGTTGGCCTTATAACAACACACACACAAAATCAGATAAATATAAAAACTAAAAGTGGCAACAATTAAAAGTGGACTTCAACTTACTGTTAATGCTGTTTCATGCTCTCCTGCAGCCAAGTATGCTAAGCCCAAGTAATAGGAAGCCTCTCCTTCCATCTTTTTGTCGTTTCCTAAAGGGAAAATGCAGAAAAATGACCACAGCTTTAAAGAAATTGATTTATTACGATAAACAGAATCTTTGCTTTTTAAGACAGCAGAAAGTTATTATAACAAAGCATACACATTTATCAATAATCCCTGCAACCTAACTGTACTGATAAAAAAAAAAAGTCTGATGTTAATACAATTTACCTGGGTCACAAATGTTAGACCGCATTAGCAAAGTAATTATGAGGAACTATCCTCTACATACACAGCCCGGTATTAGAATTTTCAGATTCCTATGTAATTTCTAAACTGGTCTGCCATGATGCACATCATGCCATCTTATAAGCATAAAGTTTATTTACATTTAATCCACCAAATATAACATAAATCTAATAGGCTTCATCATTAAAGGTTCTTATACTTAAAAGGAACACTATCCTTTTCCTATTTTTGGAGTCTTGGCTTTCAGTGTTATCCTGGGTAAAGCAAACGCTAACAGATCCACCCTCATTTTGGATATTTAAAAAGTAAGTATCCCTAGATTTCTGAACTCTGCATTGCAGCCATGATGGATTTCACCTGGAGCTAGCAATTCTCTATGCTGTACTCTCACCACTCAATGAATTACCACCCATGAAGTATGGTTCAAAGAAAACGGGATGGCAAATGCCAGTGGCAGTGTTTTTTTTTTTTGTTTTTTGTTTTTAGATTTTTTTCCTTCTCTAGCAATTTCACCAATTGCAGAGAATTATACCCCTAAGATCTCACTTCAGCAGAGTTGATGGTGCCAGTGATCCAGTCTGGGGAATTTTCACTCTTAAAATTCAGCTGGGCACTAACTTTTTCTCTGGTATGGTTTATGAGTGCTGGGGGTGGGGGGTGAGGGGGACTAAGGAAGGGAAAGGTGGGGTGGAAGAAAGCCTGTGAAAGGAAGTTGCCCCTTGAGTGATCAAAAGTTGGTTATATGTAATTTGTACTTGCTGCGTTAAGTGGTGTAACTGTGATAAAGCTCTAACGAGAGCATGTGCTGATAGATTATCATCATTTGCATCTACTTGTAATTTTATGTGAAGGGAAGCCCAGCAAAGAGGAGGAGAGACAGAAAAATCTACCCTTGTTGATAGACAGATTTTGAGGCAGCTAATTAAACAGTTGGGTCACACCAAATATTAGTTTTAAAATAGTACTTAGCGTGAGAACTTTTCCTGATTACTAGCTGAAGAGAAAGTGAAAGTTAAGATAAAGTGAAAGCAATAAAATAACGGAGGAAAATGTCAGCCCTATTCAAGTTGAGTGACACATACGCCAAAGGAAAAGAAAAGGTAAAATACTCTTTAGATTGTGTAGTTTGAGTGGGTTAAATCAATAGTGGCTTTGCCACCCCAATCAATGATCATTTATATTAAAGAAAATACTGTGTTTTTATTTTCAAGACTCTAGGAACCCTCATTTCATTGCGAACTACTTCACACTTTAGCCAATGTAAACCTAAAGTAAAATATCTTTTCCTAATTGACACATTACTTTACATTGAAATTCCCCATGACTTCCCATGTGACTAAAACCTGCTGCTGAAACTGATCTAAGAGATAGCCATTTATATCAGCGTTTACCCCTTCGGGGAAGGTACTGTTGTAGATCACCATTCATTCAAAAGTACTTCATTCAATGAGATACATCTTCATTGGAGGTGATTTCCTATGGGTATTCTAACTAATATCATTAAAAGACATAATAGAGAGAAAAAGCTGTTTACTTTTACCCTTTAGAAGATTAAAATCATACCCAGAAAATCGGACTTGCTTACCCCAAACAAGCCATGTTACTCAATAGAGCAAATATGTACTGTATACAAGCCAATAAACATTAGTTCAACAGCACTTCTTTTTTCCTTCATGAAAAGGCTACTCTATTAATAAATTACTATATGGTAATAAAATACTCTTGCATTTCACAGAGTGAAAGCTTATGAGCATATACTCCAAATTTTTCTTTATATTATATATATATATATATATATATATATATATATGCAAATGATATAGAGTAGTAAGGATATCATCAGCTCTCACAAAGCGTTTTTACTGCTGTGACACCTGGGGATCTTGTTAACCTGCAGATCTAATGCAGTACGTCTGGGGTGGGGCCTGAGATGCTGCTTTTCTTACAGACTTCTGCGGATGCCAATGCTACCAGTCCAAAGGCCACACTTTGACAGGCAAGGGTCTAAAACATATCGAGTTCTATTTTCCTCTTATTCCTAACTAAATATTTATCATCTCTTCCCTATTACCTGACAACTTTACAAACAACAAAAGGTCTCTCAGATTGTAAGAATAATACGATCTCACACTCACACTCTCACACACACACACACACACACACACTTTAGTTTTGCAAATGACCTTACCTCTCATTATGGGTTCATTGTTTTATCACACTGCTTATTACCCAGAGGGTTGTAATTTTGGAGATAAAGCTTTCAACAAACTAATGGATTTCTTGTTGTGAGCACTAAGGCACCTCTGTTTTACAGTGAAATCTGAAAGTATATTGATGGCATTTGTCTTTGCATTTCATAGGAAATAATCACCCAAACACATGACGATGTTTATGCCCCTCTTGGGAGGAGCAGTGTCTGCCCATTAAAGGAAGCAGTGTGAGAGTGTTCTTTTCCACATACCTTCTTTGGCTATTTTAGAGGCTTTTATTAGAATTCTGATGGCTTGTTTGTAATCTTTATTTTCCAGCATTTTGTCTGCGAGTAATCTGTAAATCCTCAGGAGACTCTCGCAGGCCAACAAGTTGAGAAAGCGGCCTGTCTCATCCTTCCATATCCGCCCTTGCGTCAATTGATGGAACGCTTCATAATGCTCGGCAGCTTCTAGAAGCTGACCTGAAGAATAAAAGCCATTCATAAACATAAACCACAGGCCAGAACATGTTTTCAAACATTTTGCGTACATCTTATGTTTTACTATTGAGGGGGGAGGGGTGGACCAGGAAATACAGTCAAAGGTTTCTAAGGCTGGAGGACTTAAGCTGGGAAAGGAGCCATCTCCATCTGGACCTTAGGTTGAGCACTGATTTTTGGGCGGACACCTGCTAGATGGATGTACTTTGGCTAATAGAAATTGACTAGGATTACGTATGTTTAGAGACAGTGTGAAATTCCAGTAATTATTAATAACAATCATATTTAACATTATCTATGCAAGATACTATGCTGTGTGCTTTATATGCATTTCTCATTTAATCTTTAAAAGAGCCCTGTGGAGTAGGGATTGTTATGATTCCATTTTACAGAAGAGAAAGCGAGGGGAAGGATTTTGCCTGAGATTGCACGTCCGGTGGGTTAGGAGAGCCAGGCCATCTGAGGCCAGAGCCCCTGCTCGCCACTGTCCTGCTCTGCTTTCCCAGCATCCTCCACTCTCAGGAAGAATCCGGGTATCTTGGGAAAGGATGCCTCAGTTCCAAATTTCAAATTCAAACATTATGAATCTTTAAACTACTTAAAATTTGACTGAATTTTCCAAGTACGTATTTATATACACTCTGCTGAGTTTTGAGTAATTAAAGAGTAACTCAATTGCCTTTCTGGATTGTATTTTTATGTTATAGTCCAAAATACATCTTCTCAAAGCAGACCTCTAAATTAGCTTTAAGTCATTTCCTTACTTGACATATGAGCAAGCCCATTTCTGGAAGAGTAGTTTGCAGGTCCAGGCCATGGACTGCCTTGTAGACATGCTCACAGCAGCCTGTAATGTAAATACTCTTTTATGGTATTAGAGCTACCTAACTGGAATTAACTGGTAAAGCACCTATATCTAGGCATTTCAATAGAAGTGGTTAAGAGTAAGGGAAGGCTCCAAGAAGATAGCATTTACTCTTTTCGCTGTTGAGCCTTAGGCTGATTAATTCATTAAACTCTGTGGCTGAGTTTAATTCTTCTGCAAAATAGGATTATAATGTAACTATTCAAGGTGTTATTGTGAGAAATAAATTCACACATGTTCAGTACCTGATACAGAGTATGTGCCCAATAAACATAGCTACTGTTATCAGTTGACACAGTGATAATCTTTTAAAAATATTCAATAAGTCAATTGAAATACAGCCACTATTTTTTTTCTTTAAGTACAACTTATTCTTCCTGCAAAAAAAAGATAACCGAGTTCTTATAATAATAATATTATAATGGCTGATTAAATTAACTTCTGCAGATCATATGAGGCTCAATATATCCTCAAATAGGATTCGTTGGATATTACAGCATAGGGCATAGACTGCCATGACTATTGCATATAATTTTCCCCTACGTTTGCATTGTATGAAAGAACAGACACATAAAATAGAATACTATTCACACAGAAACACAGCAGAGGTATATAATCGGCAAATAACCTGCACAAAAATTCATTAAAGACATGATGTACATGCAGAAAGCAGATATCTAAGCAAAGATACATACAGAGAGGGGGATGTGTACTGTAGAGATATTTACAAATTTGTACTATGACATTTCTACATGATAAAAGACCATAAGCCAAAAATATGATACTATATAGGAATATTTCACTACATGGACTGGTGTTTATAATAAAGGAAAATATTGGAAAACATCAGAACACAATACAAAACATTATCAGTGTAATAGGGGTGATGGGTAGTTTCTTTTCTGTTTTTCTTTCTGATTATTGGAAGTTTCTAACGCTCCTATCATCAAAATATGTTCATTTGGTAATAAAAAATATACAAGAGAAGCTATTTTAAAAATAATGCCCAATCCTTTTTTCATTTTGCTACAAATACTCAAGGTTGAAGTTCACTGCTCTAATCTATCTTTATGTTTAACTGACAATTTTTCTTTACCTTCCACAAAAGCAGGCATAGTTTGTCATCTCTCTCCTACAGTACCTCTCACCAGAAACACCTTTCTCCAAATACCCAGGACCCTCATTTTTTAAAAAAAAAATGCGAATGGAGCATTGACATATGTGTGTGTTATGTTTCCTCTGTTAACTATATTTCTGCCTGTAAAGTATAGTTCTGCATCCCTGGAAGGATGTATACAAGAGTTCTTTTTTTTCCCTATCCAGCATCCATCTATTCATTAAGTACAGATACATATTTCTCTTCGGTCATGTGAACAGGAAAGGGTGGTTACAGGGAACTGTGAGTGCAGATAGCTCCAGAAGAAATTGAGATGTAAAAGAGGCTAGGAAAGACCTGACAGCATCTGGTCACACATTAGTAACCTCATGGAAAGCAGGTCCAAAAGATGTGTTATAAAAATAACAGATTCACTAGGACTTCCAGGCGGAGAGCCAGGAGATGAAGTTCTGGCTAACCCAACTTATCACAATGAGATGCAAATAAGGCATAATGAGGTAAATAAAATATAAGAACTGCTAGCCATGTCCAAGATTTGATATACCTGGGGGCAGAAAGGTGAATGGGGAGGGAAGGGTAGATAGTGGGAAAATGATAGATGCGGGGAGTGTGGAGAGGTGTGAAGGTGGGGAACAATGAAGAAAAGGTGGGGACTGTATCTTTGTATTCCATATAAGCCAGACTTCCCTCCGTTACTGGACAGGCTGTCTCAGCAGAAATGTGGGGAGGTTCTTGGGACTTTGGTGTTGGTTGTTTACTACTGAAGGTGGCCTTGGAATGATTGGGAAATAGTGTTCTGTTGGTTGAGTTTGATTTTTGCTAGCGCTTTCGGGCTAGTATCAGTGTACCACTTAGCTCATG